CCTCTAAATTCTGGAGTGCCCCAGGACCCACCCGGCTTCTGTCTTCGGCTTTCCTGTGTTTCCATTCAGATATATGGTTCCAGCCATTCTCTTGCTCTGAATAATATCTACATGCTCAACTCCAGAATTTCTTCTCTAACATTGCTCTGGGTTCACAGGTTCAGATTGATTCTCTAGTCTCTGTTCCATCTCTGACCCAACCTGTGCCARGGTGGTCCTGGTTCCCCTCCTACTCCTCTCCCTGTTCTCCCTTAGACAGTGGCTCCTGCCATTCTGGTTCACACCAGAAGCATCGGGGTAAGACTTGATTTCTCTGTCCCACACTCATTGGAAAACCCTCCAGCACAGAAGCAAATCTTCCCTTTCTCCCCAGGCGCACCCCATCTGAGTCAGTGTGGCCTCTCCCTCTCTCTTGGTGAAATTGCAGCCTCTATTTTGTTCTCTRTAAACTGTCCTCGGCACAGAAGGCTTCTTGCTGTCCTGGTCCCCTTGTTCACTCTGCTCAGTCACAGGAGCCTTTCATTTGTTCTCACGTGGGTCAGACCAGTTCCCACCAGCACCTTCACTTCTGTTCATCCTGGGACTTGGAGGCCCCACCTCTGTCCTCCGTGTCTGACTCCTGGTCATTCTCCAAAATGCTTCCTTGACCATAGGCCACTCAATAGCCACACCAGCACGACCCACCACACTCTCTCTCTTYGCCCTGCTTCCCTTCCGAGTACTTGAAAGTACATCACATTTTAATATTAATGTTTAACTTGCTTACATTTTGACTTTGGGAGCTGTCTTGACTTTGTAAGGCTCAAGTTCCTCCTCTGTAAACTGGGGAGAATAATAACATCCAGCTCTTGGGATCGATAAGAGGATCTTGCACCATCGTAAGTACCCAACAGTATCTTTTAAAATAATATACCTCTAACCTGAACTTCATCCCACCATTCAAATAAACAAGAATAACAAAATAGAATAACATTAGATAAATGAAGAGACGCAATAGCAAAACGAGTATGAATTGTGTTTTTTATTAATTTTCATCTATTGATATTTTCAATGATTCTTTAAAAAGCTTTGAATTCCCTTAAAAGTCTAAATATTATCCAAAATGAAAAGCTGAAAGAGTTGGAAACAGTTGTCTCTGTGAAGCAAGAATTGGGAGCAGGATAGAGTCCTGCTCTTCTTTATTACAACATTAATACYATTGGGCACTTTACTTTGTAGATRTATAGTTGAGTTTTAAGAAGARAKACTGGAAGGAAATACTGGGACCCGYTAACAAGAGCTCTCTGGGGTGGGGAAGATGGAATCATCAAATGTTCTTTCTTTCTTCTTTRTGTTTTCTAAGTTCCCCAGATGATCCAGAATGTATTTCAAAACATTTTTTAAAATCATAGGCAKGCTTTTCATATATGAACTGAGTATTAAAAGGCTAATGGAGGCTGGGTAGGATGCATTTGCAAAATGCTCCAA